AAAAGACTCCGGTTTATAAAGTCAGAGGTTCTGAAACAACAGCATTTTTTTTGTAGGCAAATCCAATGGTTGCTCTCTAGCTGCTCACAGGCCCATTTCAAGACTGCAGCCAGTGTGCATGTACTTGAGCAAGACATCTCTTCTAGCTGCCTGAAATTACGGGAGTCGCCAAAGGGACATTGGTCGTACAGCTGATTTGTATTCCGCAAGAGGTGTCCAGTTTCATGGTCATTTGCAGCTAGGGTCCCCATTTCAGAAGTAAATAGTAAAACCATGAAAAACATTGTAAAACCAAGTGCTATAACATGTCGTAGACCAAACAAACACATCTTTGGGGAATGAAGGTAGGATGCAAACTGCACCTTGAGTGGCCAACTGAGAAACTTGTGCAGGTAGCCGGTAACAGGGCAAAATGACTGGCTGAGGGTCAACAATACCGGAACCACAATTCGATTGTCACAATCAAAATTGTTGGAATAGCTGACATACCATGACGCCCAAGTCAGTGGCTTGAGTGTTCTGTGATTGACCCAAGAGAGGAGGACAACACAAGGGCACTAACAAACTCACCATGTTCAAGCTATTTGGCCATGTTGAAGACCATCACCATTCAAAGCCATGCCGGAGATCAGCGCCTGCTTCTTGGAAAAGCCAATGGCACCACTCCACGCGGCAGCCAATTCCTCTTGAAATGAAGCCTGAGAGAATCCAAGTGTGTAAGGAACAAAGAAATGGAGTGGTGAAGTTCTGCTGAACCCCCTGGTTGTGGCGAAATTAATATTTAGAAAAAGAACATGCACCATAATATGAGCATAAGGTTATTGATGTTATTGTCTAAGAGTAAACATGCTTTGATGCTGCAATTGATGCAAACACGTAAAAGGTGGTACAAAACTGGTTTGGAAACAATGCAACAGAAATCGACAAATGCCAACAAGAGTCTGGGGAAACAACTGACCGCTGCAGTATGGTTAGCAATGCAACAGGCCCAAATTCGCACAACCTAGCACAATAAGATACAAAAAGTCCCTTCCAAGGGACACTGGAGTACTCGAGCAAGGACTGGCAGGAGCAATGAGGTCAGGATTAGGCGATTTGGCCAGCTTGAGAGGAAACCCATTACAACTGCATAGGTCAAGGATAAACTGGAGTTCGAAGAAAGAGACATCCAGTGGCAAGCTTGAACTTAAGAATATAAGCTGTCACCTTTCATGGGACAACTAGTCTAATTCAAACCACCAATTCATACAGTGAGCTGCTTATTTTGGAAAGTGAAGGGAGTGCATCGTCAATCACAACGATTTTGGAGAAGTGCAACGGCTGGGGATAAGAAGAAACACCTGGCATTCCCATCATTCCAATCCTCGTCCATAAGCTTCAGAAGCAAATCTTTGGTCATTCGATCCTTCCCCATCTGCTCGGATTAAAGACCACACATGGAGAATGTGCATCCAGAATCTGAACTGTTTCTAGTTCCTGGAGTAGAGAAAACTGCAAGACCTTGTTGAAGCTTTGGCAAATACACGCTTACACGCATGTTATACTGCGTCTGAATGGGCGTGTCTACAAAATGGCGACCCTCAAGATCTACCTAACATTACCTAACTGCGTCATTCTTTCCAGCGAAAGCAAAGATTGAAGTGCTCAGTTATGCAAACAAATCATGAATCCAAATAGACTATAGTGTACATCGGCCGTGTCAATTTAGGTGCCAGCGCTTGCGTTCGCATAACTTATGTGACGCCTGAAAAGCTTCAGACTTGAGCATAAATTCCAGAAACGGCCAAGACTGGGGAAATCATCCTCGATACTCCTGAGAAATGTGTAAGTTTAGAGTTTACTGTAGAGCGTCTGTCACAAGCTTAATTTGTAACCATGTGACCCAAGATGATGCCGCCCTTGCTGTCCCTTTCCATCGCAGTTCCGACTGGAAATACATCAAGAAGAATCAATCTGACAACATGCATGACATCAACTACTTCACCACAAACACCGTCAGTGAAAAACATTCTGAGGAGTTACAGACTGACCAACCTTTTTCCATCTTTATCCCACTTTTGTTGCGGGCACGCAATGATGATGCAGAAATCCTGGACACCTGGACCCTGACGGGCTCTCACACTAGCTCTCACTGCTCGCATTTTAACTATTGGAAGCCCTTCTCACAAAGGGTTTCAATCGCAGCCAGCAAATGGCCTCTATCTGCAGAGCCCGAAACTGCTGGAGAGAAATGATGCCATTCACATCATATATCATCAAACACAAAATCCATCAAAATCCCTAAATCTAATCTACAGATATCTACAGTATCCACATCCACATTTTTGGTTTACACATGTTTCCACATCAATGCAGTATATTTTTCCAGATATCCAGAATCCAGAATGCATGTTTACGGACTTGTCCGAAACATAATTGCACCTACATCAAACAAATCTGAGCTAGCGCGAGAGCATGCACTTGCAGCGGTGGCAGCGTCGGTGGTGCGCAGTGAAGCAACACCAAAAGCACCTGGAAGGGACAAGAAAACATCCACACCAATGAAGAAGTTGCTTTGCTTTGCTACTGTACAATCTGCTGTTCTTTTTTGAAACAAATTCGGACTCATTCTAACTATATAATTAATCTTTAGGTATTAAACACTTCTGGGCCTGACAAAGAAGCCGTAAAAAACAAGAAATGTAATCTATAAATATCATCAAGTATCAAGTATCCATAATCTGTGGTCCAGGTGGTCCTGTCTGAGAAGTCTGAAGTGGTATTCGTCAACCACAAACACTTGACATGGGTGCCACGAAACCATCCCCAAGCATTCCCAAACCTAGACTATTGGTTTCCAAACAAGAGCTCTTCATCTTCTCACCTTGTTCAGGATCAGCTGCACCATGACGCCACAAGGGTCATCCTGGTGCCCTTGGGTCCATGAATCAAATGCACCACATGGCTGAAACTACGTGGGCTGAGGCTTCGCTTCACCCCTCTTTGAAAGCAGGATCTATGACTGCGGGTATGTCTGAGTCAAAATACCTCCGTAAACTGATTTGTTTGAGTCATCAAACCATCCTGAATTTGGAATATCTCCCCCAAAAAAATACCGGTTCACCCCTGGCATAATGACTTGTTGCAGGTCCAGGCCTATGCTGGCAGCTGCTGCAGCAAAAAGTCTTGGCCAAAAACTTTTGGGACCTGCCACTCAAAACTAATGATAGCCAAAGAGAGCTGCCAATAATCACTGGGTAATAGTTCGCGATCATTAGTTTTTTTAATAACATGTTATAACTTACTATACTTACTAACCCTGCCTCCCAATGGAATTATCATTGTAGCACCACAAGTATTTGGGATGTTGTCTGGGAATCTCGAACCACCTCTCTTTCATGAGGCTGCCAGGATTCAAGACCAGCAAACCAACCACGACTCCGCTGTGTATGCGTCACACGGTTAAAACATGTTATAAAACAATCATGACCCACCAGCCCACAAGGTTTAGTTCCATTGAATGATGTGTGTAAAACATGTTTAACCAATTTAGCCTTTAGCCATTACTAGTACTATCCATTACTCGTATTACGAATAAACAAACAAACAGACAGACAGACAAACAAACAAACAAAGTGATTGGCCGCCATGTTGATTCATTGTCTTTGATACCAAAAATGGGAAGGTCAGAGGACAGCCTGACAAAAGAGACAAAGGAATGTTTCACTGAAAATCGAATATCCTAGACCCACAGGTGGCAGGGGTTTTGGACGCTGTTTGACGTTTTTGGGTGTGTTCGAAGTCCTTACTTGAGCCACAAACTGAGCATCGAAGTCTTGTACATGGCTATTATCGCTGCTTTGGAGCATATATGCTCCAAAGCAGCGATAGTATAGAAGAACCACAGAATCTACAGAATCGCTGTTCAGAATGCTGCCCGACATCTAACCGCACCCCACTGCCGAAGCAGTGGCGCTGCGACCAGGCCTGGAACGTTCCTCCTGTCGATGCAGTGGATGGGATGACTGGTGGATACGAAGGTCTTGGGATTCCCCCTGAATGTTGGGATCCATAGTTGGGGCTTTTGAATCTTGGCAATCATACCGAATCGTACCTCAACGTATCCTCAAAGATCTTCTAAATGATCGATGAATCATGTTTGCTTGGTTCATCTCGGTTCAACGTATGATCCATGTTTCCCAATTCAATCTTCAGGAGGTGATAATACGGCATGACAAGGTTGTAGCACCACCCCGTTGCTTTACTTTGGTCCAGAAATCGTCCCACAAATGTCTCCTCCGACTTTGTCTTCAACAGCTGTGTGCTGCAATTCAGTAGACCTGCCAACTGGACTTGGCAAATTTGAATGAAAGCCATCGGCAAGGCGGGAATCAGCTCGGTGATTGATACCATCAAGGCGGTGTGGCAACTGATCAAGTTCAAACTTCCTGGATGTGATGATAAATCGAGGGTATAGCAGTGGCTGTTTCAGTAGACGATTGTGGGCTGCAAGCTGCTTGGTGGTTTGAACTCATCCAAACAAAAATCCGTCCAGTTGGGTTACTATCAACCCAGTCATAGGGATGGAAACGATCCCATTTCTGTTGGGAAGACACCCTCCTTGTTCCTTGGATGATCTTATTGAAAGCACCAAAGAGTTGCCACATCATGAAGCATGATGGTTTATTTATTCCTACTTTTGTTCTTGAAGAAACAAATGATCTAAAATTAAAAATGTCATAAAATATCCTCACTACTTAGTGACTCAATGAATTAACTCGTCTTCCCAAGCCTACCAATAAGATCCAATAAGAACACTCGTTCATTGCTGGCCAAGCCTGGCGCAGGTGGTGCGCTCGCTTCCCTGACCAGGAGGGGTCTTGAGCGGTGATTTCATCCAAGGAACTTCGTGTAGGTAGAGGGAGAAGGAAAAAACACATGGATGAAACATGGTGAAACATGTTGAAGCATGGCAGCATCCAGGTCAACGGAGCCACACCGCAGCTGCAAGCCCAAATTTTGATCTGACTAGATCCAAAAGATCCCAATAAAACACACTGCAACGAGTAGAGACAGGTTCGTTTCCAGGGCTTGCAGCAAGCCCGATGGCTGCGGGAATCAGCTAACTCAGGACGCCTTAGCAACTTTCCAGGTGCTGCTGAAGACTTGCAGCATTCCAACTCATCACAAGAGTTGCCACATGTCGAATCGCCACGCCACCGAATACAAACACTGGAGTAGTGGTGCAGACATAACTGAGAGGCCCTCATCCCTGTCCACAGCATACTGCATTATGCGGTACTGCTCAGAGTACAGCTTGGACCGCTTGAGATCTCCAGTCTGCACAAACAATTTGCCCAGTTCATGCAGCGTTGCAGCAATTTCACTGTGAGCCCTGTCTCCATGCAAGGAGCGCTTCATTCTCAAGGACTTTTCCAAGTATTGCTTCGCTTGTTTGATATCTCCAGCCCGCCGACTGAAGTTCCCCAGGTCATGCAGCATTGCAGCAATGTCTGGGTCATCCCTGTCTCCATGCAAGGAGCGAATCATTCTCAAGGACTCTTCCATGTACTGCTTCGCTTGTTTGAGATCTCCAGCCTGCCGACTCAAGCTGCCCAGCGCATGCAGCGTTGCAGCAATGTCAGGGTGATCCCGGTCACCATGCAAGGAGCGATTCATTCGCAAGGACTCATTGTAGCACTGCTTCGCTTGATTGAGATCTCCAGAGTCAGAACTCAAGTTGCCCAGCTCATGCAGCGTTGCAGCAATCTCACGGTGAGCCCTGTCTCCATGCAAGGAGCGCTTCATTCGCAAGGACTCATCGAAGTACTGCTTCGCTTGATTGGGATCTCCAGCCTTCCGACTCAAGTTGCCCAGCGCATGCAGCGTCACAGCGGTCTCAGGGTGATCCCTGTCTCCATGTAAGGAGCGGTCCATTCTCAAGCACTCATCGAAGTATGTCTTTGCTTGTTTGAGATCTCCAGCGCGCCGACTCAAGTTGCCCAGCGCATGCAGGGTCGCAGTAACGTCACGGATCATACCATGCAAGGAGCGATTCATTCGCAAGGACTCTTCCAAGTACTGCTTCGCTTGTTTGAGATCTCCCGTCTCTAGACTCAAACTGCCCAGTTCATGCAGCGTCAGAGCAATCTCACGGTGATCCCCGTCCCCATGCAAAGAGCGCTTCATTCGCAAGGTCTCATCGAAGTACTGCTTGGCCTGATTGAGATCTCCAGCTTGCTGACTCAAGTTGCCCAGCCTATGCAGTGTCGCAGCAATGTCACTGTGGTCGCTATCCTTGTGTGCGTTTTGCAACTCCAGCAAATGGTGCTCCAAGGCCTGCATTTTTGCTTCTGTTTCTCCTCCTGGAATGACCTCAGGAAAGTTGAAAGCCTCAGGGGCGCCTTGTGTGCGTGTCTCTTCTGTCACGCTCCATGTCACTGCTGTGACACTTCCCTCAACTGGGGCCTGCAAGTGAAATGAGACGGTGTGATGTGTGAACACATCAGACTCCTCGGGGCAAACGTCCACCAGCAGGAATGGCTGCAGCAGCTCCTCAGCTCTCCGAGTGGCAGACATAATCTGTACACAAGCCGATCTCCACTTTCGATGCGCTTCTCGTTTCGCCATTTGGGCTGCAACGTGGCGGACTGCTGCCATCATGCCAAAAATGTTGGCAGAATCGTCAAGCGCCAAGTCCTGGTCCTGCATGGGGAAATGTTTTCTTGGCCCTTTTGTGCCTCAGGGAAACTAAAAAGGTCTCGTTCAACAATGTTCACTAATTGTTCAACAAATTAGACCAAGAATATAGTTGTCTTCTTTTCATGAGGGGCCATCTCCCCGACTGTCCTGCACATCTGAGTCCTCTTCGTCTGTTGCAGCACCAAGGAACTCCCGAATCTCTTTCACCCGGTCTTGAATTGCACGCAGACTCACCCAAATGTCTGCTGCGTTTTCCTGCATCTCTTCTCGCAAATTGGCGACTCTGTTGGGATCCTCATAGATGGCATTGTCCCGTATCGCCTTGAACTTGGCAACAATCCTGAGTCCGCTGTATGCCAAATCCAACCGTTTCCAAGATGCCAAAACCCGGTTGGATTGTAGCATGTGTAAGGTTTAAAATTCCTCCAGTTGGCTGGATATTATTGCATAATATTGCGCATTGGCACATTTTGTGAGTTATATAGTTGTAGCCAGCTATAGCATGTTATAGCTGCTGATTGCTGTGCATCACAAAACTGAGTACTCAATTTCTGGCTCCAAACATCTCCAGACCATTGAACGAAAAAAGGAGAACAGTACCTCAACAAGGATCTGTTGAATCTGTTGGTCATCTTCCGGGTCAGCCATGCCGCACAGCAGTCCAGACCTGGCACCGGATTATGCTACCATGGCTGCTATGGCGCATCAGGCCCTGCGCAAAACTAGGCTGTTTATGTGAATTTGTGAGACGGGTTGCAGGCTTGGACTGATTATATGACAATGATCAATCCCGTTTTCGCGCAGGAATCTTAAAGATTGGGCATGTTAAGGCAGCTCAGGGTGCTTTCAGTGATACTTTCTATATTAGTAATGTTAATGATGATTCGATCAGGGCAGTACCGCTATTGAATTCTGAATGCCAATTCTGTCTCTGAAGGCTAGCGTGGATAGATGCAACTAATGTCGGCGTAGTTTTTAACTCAGCTTTGAAGCATGAAACTCTTCAGCTCATAATAAGAATAACAAGCAAATGTTTGCTCCGATGACTTTGACGACATATCAATGGAGAAGGTTGCTGCCTTGAAGAGGGCCGCACAGTGTCAGGACGGCCGAGCTGTGATGCAACCCATACACCCGAAACTTGGGACATCTCAAAAATGATTTCCTCTAATAAGCTTGCAATGAAATGGACCTGTTTTGCCATAATTATTCAGTTCCTTGATCTAAGGCACTTCCCTCCACCGTCTTCACAAAACTGTAAAGGTCGCCAGGGATTCCAGTGATTCTGACATCATCACCACCAGAACAACACTGAGGTACGCGCCTGTGGATGTCTCTGCGCTTCATCTTCTTTGCCATCTTCCTTGGCGACGCCCGGAAGTGGTTCCTGGCTGCATCAAAACACAGGAGACGTGTCCGGACATCAAGGCAGCCTGTTGAACCCGAACCCCCATTGACATTCAAATGCATTGGGAAAACTCAGGTTCCGCTCGTTGGAGCAGAATCCGATGATATGTCTAAGGGTCAAGCAAACAGCTCTGTTCCTCCGAAAGAATACAGGTGGTTTGGGGTCTCCAGCTTTGATCAGCATAGCCGTCAGTTTTGGTATCTACAATCTTCTGAACCCCAAAACATACAGTAGGAATCTGTATCAGTATTATTTGAGCTGTTCAACCTCATCTCATCTCGTGGTTTAAACTCCGATATCAGTTGGTATTGCTCATGTTATTCACCCTAAAAGAAATTGGATGACTCACCCAATCTGAGTCCTACAATGACTTTCCATGCCTTGGAATTGACATGTTCAAACATCTCAAGTTGATTCAAGTTGTGTGTTGCCTCAACGATTGCGCTCCACGGCCTGCACGGCCTCTGCCACCCGCATGGAGCGTCACGGGACTTCACCTCGAAGACCAGGGAGGCGATTCTCAGCCACAAAGATGTGCCAACAGTGGAGGTTTCAGTGGCAAATGCTTGGGAGGATGACCACCAAACATGAGGATTTCACATGATTTCACATGATTTCACTATCTACTGTAACAAAAACCAGGGAATTAGTTTGGCCCTGACAATGGCGGAAGAACCCAACAATGGGGAGTAGTATGACCAGCATGAATCAACATGAAAATAGTGATCTGACCGGAAAAATGCGGAAGTTCTGCACTCCACCATTGGAGATGTATAGCAACATTGTGGATATGACCAACAAATCTTCAAAAGGACTGGGGTTCAAGCCATGTGGCATCCCAGATTGGTCGGATGTGCCAATGCTTGCGTTTGCATGAGGAGCAACATGTAGCATATTTCGTGACGCCTGAAAGTCTTCAGGCTTGAGCATGAAGTCCACAGATGGCGAAACATGGCAAAAATATGCAAAAAGCATCCAGCTAGATATCCCTGAGAAATGTTATTTGTGTGTCACAAGCGTTGTAATCATGTGATCCACAATGTTGATGCCCGTTCCATCCCGCTCTATCCAAGTTTTGGACAGTGTCCAGGGTCCTGATTTCTCCCAGACGACACACAATATCAGCGACATCAACTACTTCACCACAAGCACAGTCACCGAGAAACATTATGAGGAGCCACACACACTAACCAACCTTTGTCCCACTTTTGCCAAGGCCTGCACTGATGCAGAAGCCCTCCACGCAGAAGGTGTTTTTTCCGCTAACTCCCTCACTGCTCGCATTTTCACTATTGGAAGCCCTTATCACAAAGGGCTTCGAACGCGGCCAGCAAATGGCCTCTATCTGCAGAGCCCAAAATTGCTGGAGAGAATTGATGCTATTTCCTCACATTATACACCATCAAACGCACCAGGCACCAAATCCCTAACGTACGATTGTTTATATAATCGATTTTTGGTTTGCAGACTTTTTCCAGCACAGTACTTATAGATACTATTGTATAGCTGTGCTTGATACATAAAACTCTAAGGTGTCACAAGGTTGAGCCTCCTTATCGTTATGTCAACATTCAAAAACAATGCCTTGATCTTGCAAGCGCTATGACCTGATTTGCATCACATTTCTCTCCAGTTCCTTGCCTTTGGGGCTCTCCTCGCTTTCATCCACACTGAATTCATGCGCTTTCATCCATTTTGAGGTGGGCCACTCATAGAAGATTCATTCATCAGTCACCAGCTAGTTTTGTTTCCGGACGCTGCCGAAGAAGAAGACTAGTGAGAAGGAAAATAGTGAATCGGTTCAAAGCAATTGAATACTCGGTTGCTAAGATATCGCATCAAACATCATCTACTGAATTAGCCCTTGACATTCATCAACAACAATTCAAATTCATGCTGTCACACAATGCCAAACATCCTAGGATAAATAAGGAACACAGTCTTCCCGAATGCATGTTGACTGATGTAATTGTCCGAAACATAATTGCAACTACATCAAACAAATCTGAGATAGCGCGAGAGCATGCACTCGCAGCGCCGGCAGCGTCGGTGGTGTGCAGTCAAGCAACACCAAAAGCACCTGGAAGGGACAAGAAAACATCCACACCAAGGAAAAAACTGCTTTGCTTTGCTACTGTACAATCTGTTGTGATCTGTTGTGTTTTATTTGCGAAACAAATCAGAGCTCATTTTAACTAACCTTTGGGTGGAAAACACTTCTGGGCCTGACAAAGAAGCTGTAAACAAGAAATGTAATCCATAAATATCATCAAGTATCCATAATATGTGGTCCAGGCGGTCCTGTCTGAGAAGTCTGAAGTAGTATGCGCCACTCACAAGCACGTGACACGGGCGCCACAAAATCAATTATCCCCAAACCCTTGGTTTTCTATCCAGAGTTCACCTATCTTGAGTCATTGCCATTGTGTTGGATGATGCATTTCAATCAGTAGACGGCAACATTACAGTAGCTGGTATGATCTTGTTCAAGAGCATACCCTCCTCTATCCACACTGATGTGGGATGAGATCACCTTGTTCAGGCTCAGCTGCACCATAACGCCACGAGACTCATCCTGGTGCCCACAGTTGGGTCCACGAATCAAGATAGCTGAAACTACGTTAGTGACTACGAGGGCTGAGCGGCCTCACCCCAACTCAAATGCGACCCCCGTGCCGACCTTCTATGGGCATGTCTGAGTTCAAATACATCCCCAAACTGATCTGTTTGAGTTGGAAAGCATCCTGGGTTTGGAGCATCCCCCAAAAACAAACAGTTCACCCTGGGCAGGGTGACATTTTGCAACAAAGAACAATAACTGACAATAACATATTGGGCATATATTTGACTCGCACAAATCACCAAAGTGGTCTATCTTGCTGTAACCATCTTGGATTTGGAACATCCCTCTTCCCAAACACCCATCAATTCACACCTGATAATTAGGGGATTCCCCACCGGTCCAGGCCTATGCTGGCAGCTGCTGCAGCAGAGTCTTGGCTAAAAGCACACGTGACCTGCCACGGGAATCTCTGGTTGCTGGTGAAGTACCAAAAGGCTAAGTACCGCTTTCAACTTGAAAGATGTTGGAACGACAAGAACTATCAATACTATCACTATTCACTCAGTAGGGATCTAGTTGGGCGGCTGTGCTATGTGAAGTACATCAAGCAGGATGGTCAAGTGGGAACATTGCAAACCCATCACGGCTCATGGCTTTGGATGGCGGCATGGGCTTAAAGGAACACCTCTGCCATGAGGGATTTCCAAGACCACCAGCACCTTTATGGCCAACTTCAGCAATCGTTGTCTCAACCAGCTCACAGAGTTTAGTATTTTTTTGAGATCCTTGGAAACCAATGTAAGCCATATCCAACCACCATTCCAAAACTGCGAGCAGCTGAAATTGTTGGACATCCCAAGTATTGACTCAGACTAGAACAACGCTTATATGTCTTTGGCAATCTCGCCGCCTGTGCTTCTGCAACTTCTGAAGTTCGGAGGACAGCCTGTTGGAAGTGTTGGTCCAAAACTAAGTCATGATATCAATGATATCACTGAAGTTTGAGGATCCTGGACCCACAATCACAATCCGGGGGCATTTTTGGTACTGGCAATTGGCTATGTACCTAAGAGATCCTAAGAGTATGAGTACGGCAAATATTTTGCTACCTCAGGGAAGACTTTCAAACTCTCTAGAATACCTCCTGACCGTGAGATTCTGGTCATCTACTGCTGCTCAGCTTGACCCGAGCCTGGAGTGTTCCTCCTGATACTGAGCGCGGTTGCTGTCTCTATGGCGACCCGTTCCATACCCAAGGAACTCACAACGACTTTTGCGGAGGAGTGGTAAGCACCACCAGGTCAACCGACATGACGCAGAATCTCCTCCAGTTTCGTCTTCAACAGCTGCGTGCTGCGATTCAGCAGGCCTGCAATGTTGGCAGGTCGGATCTCCTATATATATATACATATAATTATATATAAGTTCGATTGGCAGCACCAACACAAATATCCGATTCTGGTGCTTCCAGCGTTAACAAGCTCTGCGTCTAGATCTTCCATTGAAAGATGCAGGTAGCTTCTCAAAATATCTCAAAATATCTGAAATCTGAACTTGAAGTTTGATTGCGTTCCCGACAGGGATCGTTTTCACATGTTTTCACTACCGTTCTGGGTCCTCAAGTTCACCCTGCTGATGGTTTTCCCGCCCCACCTGGTGCGGGCGGTGCGCTGGCTTCCCTCGGCCCAGGAGGGTGAGCAGTGATGGGCTTCATGCAACGAAGGGCAGGGCATGGACGGAGACATGTGGGACTGAAAATCGGCACTCGTTAAACAAAAAGTACGAAAACAACATGGCGACAACATGCCACTGCAAGGAAACAACACAACAAATCTGATCTTGAGGTGACCTCGTCTTTAAGACAAACGGAAAAGGAAAATAAAAATCAATGACCCGTGGAAGAAACGATGCAAACAAAGCTGAACACTATATACATACAAGTATATAGCATCATTGGTAAACAACACCAAGAACATCGGTGACTCAACCGGCCCTTCAGAATTGGGCTCTTTTGCAAAGCTTGCGCATGAGGGGATCGAGTCACTCAGCACCACACCTCTTATTGAGGGCTGCCCTGGGCCAAGCAGTCTCGACTCACGTTGCAGCGTCACAGCACGTCACAGCAATCTAAGGACTCATCGTAGCTTAGTATTGTTCCGCCTGCCTGAGATCTCCAGTCTCTCGACTCAAACTGCCCAGCTCACGGAGCGTTCCAGCAATGTACAAGTAAGGGTGGTCCCTGTCCTCGTGAAAAGAGCGGCCCATTTGCAAGGACTCATCGAAGTACTGCTTCGCTTGAGTGAGATCTCCAGCCTGCTGACTCAAGTTGCCCAGCTCATGCAGTGTTGCAGCAATGTCAGGGTGATCCCTGTCTCCATGTAAGGAGCGAATCATTCTCAAGCACTCATCCAAGTATTTCTTTGCTTGCTTGAGATCTCCAGTCTGCCGACTCAAGTTCCCCAGATCATGCAGCGTCTCAGCAACGTCAGGGTGATCCCCGTCCCCATACAAGGAGCGCTTCATTCTCAAGGACTCATCGAAGTACTGCTTCGCTTGAGTGAGATCTCCAGCCTGCCGACTCAAGTTGCCCAGCGCATGCAGTGTCACAGCAATCTCACGGTGATCCCCGACCCCATGCAAAGAGCGCTTCATTCGCAAGGACTCATCGAAGTACTGCTTCGCTTGAGTGAGATCTCCAGCCTGCCGGCTCAAATTACCGAGCTCATTCAGCGTCACAGAAATCTGATGGTGATCCGTGTCTCCATACAAGGAGCGCTTCATTCTCAAGGAGTCATTGCAGTACTGCTTCGCTTGATTGAGATCTCCAGCCTGCCGGCTCAAGTTGCCCAGCGCATGCAGTGTCACAGCAATCTCAGGGTGATCCCCGTCCCCATGCAAAGAGCGCTTCATCCGCAAGGACTCATCGAAGTACTGCTTCGCTTGAGTGAGATCTCCAGCCTGCCGGCTCAAGTTGCCCAGCGCATGCAGTGTCACAGCAATCTCAGGGTGATCCCCGTCCCCATGCAAAGAGCGCTTCATTCGCAAGGACTCATCGAAGTTCTGCTTCGCTTGAGTGAGATCTCCAGCCTGCCGGCTCAAGTTGCCCAGCGCATGCAGTGTCACAGCAATCTCAGGGTGATCCCCATCCCCATGCAAAGAGCGCTTCATTCGCAAGGACTCATCGAAGTTCTGCTTCGCTTGAGTGAGATCTCCAGCCTGCCGGCTCAAGTTGCCCAGCGCATGCAGTGTCACAGCAATCTCAGGGTGATCCCCATCCCCATGCAAAGAGGCGCTTGATTCTCAAGGAGTCATTGCAGTACTGCTTCGCTTGATTGAGATCTCCAGCCTTCCAACTCAGGTTGCCTAGCTCATTCAGTGTCACGGCAATCTCGGGGTGATACTCATGCTCATACAAGGAGCACTTCATGTTTAAGGACTCTTGGCAGTATTGCTCTGATTGCTTGAGATCTCTAGCATGCCGACTCAAGTTGCCCAGATTATGCAGCACAACACAGCAATTTCAGGGTGGTCGGTGTTCTTGTGTGTGTTTCGCAACTCCAGCAGTGGGTGCCTATTCTTGCTTCTGTCTCTCCCCCTGCAACGGCGTCAGGAAGGTTAAAAGCGTCTGAATCTTCCTCTCCCCAAGTTTCTTCCGTCACATTCCATGTCACTACTGTGACACTTCCTGCAAGTGGAGCCTGCGAGTGAGATGGGGCGGTAGGATGTGTGAACACATCAGACCTGTTAGGGAAAACATCCGTCTCCAGCAATGGCCGCAGCAGCTCCTCAGCTCTTCGAGTTGCAGAAATAATCTTTTCACAAGCCGATCTCCACTTCCAGTGTTTGTCTGGATGCACCATTTGGCCTGCAAAATCGCGGACTGCTGCCATGACATCAAAGAGTTTGTCAGGATCGTCAAGCGCCAAGTCCTTGTCCTGGGGTAAACGCAGTTTTTTTGGTTACCGTGCAGTAGGATGGGAATGTACCCTAGAGCTAGTCTAACAAATAAAAATGGCTTCTGACGGCTTCTGACCCTACCCGTTGACAATTGTTTCATGGACCCAAACCACTTACCCAACATGGAGGAGGTCCTGCACCTGTGGATCTCCTTCATCCATTGCAGTACCAATCAACAAGCGGATCTCATTCGCACACTCTCGAATCGTTTGCACTTTCTCCCACATTTCACCTGCCTCTTCATCCAGTGCTGCTTGCAAATCCGCTGTATTGTCAGGATGCTCATAGAGGGCTAACTCAACTATGGCCCAGAACTTGTCAACAATCCTGAGTTGCTTCACCCTGAATCCAGGCTCTTGCAATCTGACTTTTGTATTGCATGTTCAAAAAAACAAAACGTTCAATTACTCTACTGTAATAGATTGTAATAGTGTGTATTGCTTCCAGCCTTAGCGCGTTTGTGAATCATGGTTGTGTAGCACAGAACAGAACATAGTGCTCAATTTCAGTGTCAAACTCAAAATATATGAAAGAAGAACGGAAACCAAAATTCAGTCTTTCGCAAGGATCTGTTGAATCTCTTGGTCAGCTTCCAGCTCAGCCATGTCGCACTACGACGGGGTGGACTTTGCACGGGATTATTCCACTATGGCTACCATGGGGCACGAGGCCGGTGCAGGATGCCCTGCCCCAAAATTTCAATTGCAGGGCCTTATTTGAAAGGTGGTTCCCAAAGATTTGGGGGTTTGGAGTGATTCATCCAGTCCCGCTTTTGCCCGGAAAACTCAAAGATTGGGCATGTTGAGGCAGCCAAAGGTGCTTTCAGTGATACCTTCTATCTGATGGCTTCGGCAAGTCGAAGATGGTGATAAGTAGGCCAGCACTATTTCTGAATTCTGAAGGCCACATTTCTGCCTATCACTGAAGGCTAGGGCGTATAGATGTACCCACTGTCAGCATGGTGCGTAGATATGCTTTGGAACATGAACCGTCTGATAAGTTGATAAATTCTATACTATAGTGGTGAGATCAACACAACTTCTGCTTGGAAGAACTTGAAAACAAAGAATGGCGAGTTGTTGCCTTGAAGACGGCTGAAAAGGACGGCTGGGCTGTGATTCAAACCATAATGTTGGTATGTCAACATCTGAAAAGTTGCTTGATCTTGAGACACCTTCCCCTGCCTCAATGAAACCAAGTGAAACGATACCACTTGACATGCGATTCGAGTGATTCTGGCATCACCACCATTTTTGCCGAGTGCTGAGGGAAGCACCTGTGGATGTCGCTTCGCTGCATCTTCTTTTCATCTTCCATGGTCACACCCGGTAGTGGCTCCTGGCGGCATCAACACATAGAATTGTCTTGACTGCAGTGGAAAAATGTCTGCCGTTGATTGGCGAGTGAGTCTTTTGAACATTGCTAGCAAAACAGCTAGCTGCTAGCTAGTTGAATCGCATCAACTTTCAAGACACTGCAACAAACATGTTTCAATAGTTTTGCTTGTTGGACCGAGATCCCATGATATGTGCGCGGGTCAAACATCGAGGAACGAAAACTATTCTGTCGATCAGTTTTGGCATTTACAGTACAATTCTGAACTGTATATATATATATATATATACATGAGTTTGTACCTGCAATCGGCGGTTCCACCCATCATGTGTATTCATTTGGGGTAAAACATGATAAAACCATCTAGTGGTTCCTCAAAATTATTGGCCCAAAATTTGGATGGTTTGATGCTACAATTCACCAAATCTCTGGCCTCTTTGGTAAGCAATTTGTTTGACCCTGATGCCCCAAAAGAATTGTTCCAATGAGCAAAACCATGATAAACCCAATATATGTATATATATATTATATATATGTATACAGTATATATATACACATAATCATATATAATTATTTATATATACATACAGATACAGTTTTTTTTTTTGGGGGGGGGGCGCCATAGTTTCAACCAAAGCCATGTTCATCTTCGTTGGATCAACCAACCAAAAACAGTGCTTCGCATGGCCTGCGTGCCGGCAGCGACATCTGCTGCACCCATGGAGGATGGAGCTTCATTGGACCTAACCTAAGGGAGCCGCGGTATGGAATCACCACTGGGATTTCTCTATAGAATCAAGTAGCAAACCTCTGGGAGGATCGAGCCATGCACAGATGTGTATATACCGCATACAAACAGAAGATAATAAAGTACCAGTGGTACGTTTTTGACCAACAAGATTAGATGGGAACTTGGCAGCAATAGAGATATCACCAATTACTTGGTAGGGTCAAGCTGAAAGCATGTGCAAAGAATGAGGACGTAGCAGTTCTCAAACAAAACGGAATTCAGAGTTGGGCCATGAAACATGAGAAATATACGCAAAAAAGTATGGGTATGACTGGCTAATCGATGGGAATGATCAGCAAAACTGGGGATCTAAGACTACCATGGGGATACACCCAAAGTAAATAAGAAAATTATATAAGTGTATCCCCATGGTATTTATGACTTAAATAAAGATGGCCATAACCGCATCATATGTGCCATCATCCCAATGGCCCAGGTCACTCTGAGGCCCCCTACGCTTTGGACACTCTTCAGACTGGTCTGTGCCATGGGGCCAGAACCTGCAGCTTGGGATGCCCCATGAAAATCCAGATCATGGCGTGGCAAACAGCTTCACCATGCACAGCAAAACAAAAGGAGCAATCCCTATCGTTGTACTGGTACTCTTGGATCTACTCTAGGTGTACTTTCGAGACATCTTAAGGGACTGTTACCTCAATTTAAGTATGCTTTTTTTTTCCTGGTTGACTATAGTATTCATTGATGTTAATTAATGTTCCTTTCTGAGCATCGGGAACTGATACCCTTTTTCACAGCAATTCTGTGACAAATCCCACGACAGCCAACCTGCTTTGTTGACATATGGCTCCTCTGGAGCAGCTGAGGCCTGGCTGTTTGGAGCTATCTTTGTGAGGGCTTTTCGTTTCCCACAATGTCTTCAAGAAATCATATTGATCATTCAATAGACACTCCACCTTGATCTTGATCATGTCTTGTAGCATGTTTTTCCTTTGCAACTTCCGACAACAGATAGCCTAATCGACTGCAATGACAATTCTGCCGCAGATTCGTCAGCTTGGATGTGTTGCAGCCAAGCCGTGGGTGGCAATTTGATGTGTGTATTGCTATAAGACAAACAGTTCAGTCAGCCAACTTTGTTAAAGGCAAATGGTCTGGTTTTCACATCTGGACCAGGAACAAACCAAATAACAGTGGGATATTCATCTCTACCCAATGTCGGATATTTACTTTTGAACCGTACGAGTATCTGACCATGTTCATGACTACTCATGAATTCACACAACTTTATTGGATTGATGATAAACAATATCAAGTTTATTGATGACAAAACAGTTATCAAGTTTTGACTTTTGACCATGGCACATATCCGAATGCAGAGTCGCACCATGTTGCAAATCTCCAGGAGGTCCATGGTGGAGTCCTGTCAACAAGTGGACTGCAGCATCGAACGGAGAGTCTAAGAGCAAAGAAATGCAACAAGTTAGGCTGAGAGACACAATACGTGTTCAATACAACAACAAATAACACAGTCCCAAACCACCAATCACAAGCTCATATCCTTCATGCTACCGACAAAAACAACAGGGCAAAGGTGAGACTGTCAATTCCTGCCAACAGGAGAAGGACTCCAACACTTTCTTGTATGGTTGCACCAACAAAGTCCAGAAATCATGCCATTCAAACTTACACTTCACTGGAAATGATGCTGGATCCTTTGGATAAGCCCTCCCCAGTGTTGAACAGACCGCTCCTCATGGGTCGCTTCTGCCACCGCGCGCAAGAGATTGGCTGTGGAGGAGTCACTGACATCGGCCTGGAGAGTTGACCCTGAGTCAGGTGACCTTTCTCTAACAAAGAATGCAGCTGGCAAAAGTGGAAGTACTGTCATAATTTCGGGTGTTCAGTCTTCAGATGTCTTCAGGCAATGAACAATGATGGAAACACAACAAATGACCCTTCACACTCCTTCTCTGACTCAAGAGTTTGCTCAACAATCCCTTGCGTCTCAGTAGAACAAACATCTTAGGATTGAAATGGATTTGTCTGGAAACAGGGCATTATGGAGGCATAATCACCATTTTCAGGCACGCCCAAATGGTTTGAATCTTATGAGCCATGAGACCTCCAGGTCAAACCACCACTGAGCTGCCGGGCGCAGGCGTTCAAGGCCTTTCGCATCGCCCCCACCAAGCCCAAGATCTTGTCGGGCCTGGATCAAACTTGAAGACAACAAGTTCAAGCAGTTCCATTCTTTGTCTTGGGATGGGACCTGTCATGTCGAAACAACCAAATCAAAATTATCAAACACCAAATCGAAGGTCCAACTGTTTGCGGATTCAGAAGATTGAGCAATCGGGATTGAAATCCACGAAACGCTTCTGCTTCTGTTGTGGGAATCAAGGTAGGAATCAAGTGAAGGCATCTGCAATGAGTCCCCCGCGCACCAATCTCCACAAGCCAGGCCTGGGTGTTCCATGTCTGAGACAGATGAAGAGCAGGGTTTCAACAGAGGGGTGAAAACACAATTTGGCTGGGGACCAAAAGAATGGCAAGCAAAACGACAATTCGATGTGGATCCACAACCATGTAACGTGGATATTACTATCACACCAAAGGATTATACATATCAATGTTCATCAAAGTCACATGCACGGGTCGGAAGTCTCCACCGCAACTGAAGACGCTGTAGATCGCCTGTGCTTTTTCATGAAGGGCGAGCATCTTTCGAGCTGCAGTGCCACCCCCATGTCCCCAAGATTCCCATTAATTCCCCATGTCTTAACGGACATGTTGGAATGGGAATGATACCATATGATACCATATGCATGCCATTTGCTCCATCAATCGATGACAGCACAAGTAATTTGGGGTAATTACGAATTTTGAATTCATCTGAGCACTGATTTCCAAACACGATTCTCAATAGCTTCTGCAAGAATTATATCAAGAGAAAAGATCAACAAGCTATTGGGTGGACTTAATTTTTAGTCAGAGTCATGGTCCCTTAAATTTTGAGGCATCTTTGTCCTTGCATATGTTGCTTCTTCTGATGGTTTTGCTTCCGACGAAAACGTCGAATAAACAAATTTAACATATTTATATAAGTCTATTTAAGCATGTCATCCAAAATCTTCGGTTCAAGATCAACGGCCTGACTCTTGTATAGAAGATATAGAAGTCAGTATTGCATCTGTTGAACTAAGATTATCAAGCTGTGATGTGGTACCAGACTGAAGGTCCCACTGCGTGTTTATTTTCCTTTATGCAAGACTTATCTCATCAGAACCTGGGGGAATGCGCGCAGGCTAAACCATATGCTCACCCCACAGGCCTGCCACCAGTCGCTGACTGTCTCGTGATATTCCCTGGGAAAACACAGGCAACTTAAGAAGTGCACATCTCCAGCAACTGAAAACATTTAAACACCCATCAGTCTGAAAGCAGATTCCGCACCATCATATTTATTGAAAAAGACAGCAGTGAATAAAAATGATGATTTGGTGGTTATATCAGTTATATCATATTATATTGGGGGTATGATGGTTTATCCACCAAGAAACCAATGATCCATTGGTGCTATTGCTGGTGGTTTATCTCTGATCCCGTGTCCTCCAACCAACCTTCCGGGACTGCGACCAAGAAGCTTCCAAGCATCCAAGAGCTCGGACCAGCAAGCAGCAGCGTCTCCTTCCAAGCCATGTGTCATCCAAAACACAAGACTATTCCTAGATGTATTCTATCTCCATCGTGATGTATATACAAATGATATCAAATGACCACATTTTATATATATATTGTATATTATTGTATTGTTAACATTTATTAACCTCCTACATCCTCCTACTATCTTTGCCTGAAAATACATTTCCCATCATTTCCCCCTCAAAGGAACAAAACGCTTGTGCATTGCCCGGTTTCGAGATGAACTTCTGTCTGCACATCACTTCAAGCATCAACTTTCATATGACTTGGAAGTTGCCCTAATTTGCAAGAAGACATAGCCTGACATAGCCAAACAAATTTCTGGTCTCGCAAGCGGCCTGGAATGATTTAGCAACAGGGGAACAAAAACACGAGGAACCGCATGCACACTCACCTTGCCCAAAAACAAAACAAAGAAAGTGCAGCCATAAGTCCTGCAGGAGCACCAGCAGTGCGCAACGCCAAAGCACCCGTGCCTCAGAAGGGCAATGACCAACCCGCATGCACACGGCACGTGCCAAGCAGTCGCCACCCTGTGGTTGGCTTTACATGAAGACAGACAAGACCCCAAACATTCTAAAATCATGCAACTTTTCTAGTAAGTCAGAAGAATATGTCTGTGAATTCACCACCTGGCAAGGGTCCTTCAGTTTTATTATTGGCGCAGCTCAGCACAAGGATTTAGCTTCAAGATGCTTCAAGTTGAAAGGCCACTGCTACTTAGTTTGACTTGGCCGGGAGTTACAGCACTGCAATATTCACTGACCAACGACTGTTCCATGATCGATCATGCTGCGTGGATATGCATGGGTAGAAAATATGTCATGCTGGCAATGCCGATCGAGTTCCCCATAGTTCCCCATCCAACTAGTGACCCTCCACCTTTCATTCCATATCCATATCTGCCTTTTTCCCCTGGTTTCTTTGCCAGGCTATGGTCTCATCCTACCAACCCCGAAGAATATTGGCAGCGCTTCCCCCGCGCGAACCAAAGTGCTGAGAGGAGATGTGGCATCCAACAGGTGCTCCTCATAAATTGTGTCCCAGGACACCTTCAATCTAACCTCTGGCGAAATCAAGGGGCGACAACACAGGCCCAAGCCCTCCAGAACCGGATGATCATCCCAGCAAGCACAGCCCAAGTGTAAGCTGGGAAGATCCTGACCAAGCTCGAAATCAAAGCATTGGGCTTCAAGGCAGCACTCCATCTCAACCCCTTTGAAAACTATCGGTACATTGGGCGTGGCACCACACCAGTTGCCTGCTCCATCATCGAAGCCGGAGAAGAGATCGGCCGATTCGCGGGGATCAAAGGAGAACTTGCTAAACATCACACGACCATCGACTGTGTCACTCGCAACTGTTTTGGCTGCGTGGAAGAACTTCGACACTTCTGTGGGATCCTTGAACTCGATATCGCAGTGCAGAATCACTGCAGGAAGGCTCTTCATTTCCACACTAAGGCTGCTGAAATTCAGCACTCTCCAAAGGCCTGCTGGTTGCCAAGTGCCGGGTGGGTGTCGCCACGGCCCTCCTCCGCCTGTCCTTCGGCTTTCAATCAAAGTGCATTTGAAGTTTGGAGACGCTACCGCCAGCTCCAAAATTGAATCATCGGAGAGATAATCCAAGCATTGCACCCAAACATCTTTTGGGAGAGATGTCCACCCCATTGCTTGCAACTTTCAGAAGCTGGTTGCTGAAGCCCATCCACAAAGTATATCAAAGTATAACATCTGCTGGACTGTTCTGTTCCTGAGACCGCCTTGTGTAGTATTTATTTGTGTTTGCTTGCGCAATATATTGCCTTAAAACACGTTGAGTGAAGTAGGAGATCCCCTCTCAGAGCCACACATCATGGAGTTTCGACGCAAGCTATGGCGTGGAAATTATTTTGGCGACGTTTAGTGTGATGACGTAATCAAAGGGTTGTGAGTGTAATGTGTAAAGGCAATATCTCCTGCCAAGTTGACCTCGCACTGCTCGTGATCTATTGACACTTACTATAGATCATCCAAATTGGCAATTGGATGTAATTGGTAAGCGGAAAGAGTGAACAAGGTTGGAAACGGGGCCCCAAATCCCGTTTTTCTTTCCTGCTGCTAAAGAGTTGTTGGCCATCCGCTTGGTGGTGTTCAACCCGTTTGAAAAACATTACATAGTCGGAGAACCATCTCATCTTGAGGGACACAAAAGGCTAGCTGAATGCAAAAGGAAATCAGCTATGCCACCATGACGCCTGGACAAATACCCAAAATAAAAGCCATCACCGAGCAGCATAGGATTTCAATGGCCGTGATGCCCAAGGCATGGATATCCAGCCTGGCCATTGGTTGATATTGGTTGGACGCCAAATCCCGAAGTTTGAGGACCAGTTTGACCGTCTGCTTTTCCAAATGGGACAACAATGTACAAAAACTACGTGGTAGAACGGCCATATCGATCCATATCGTACTTTATGGATCTTTATGTTGATATATAGAATATGAATGAATATTAGAGGATCAGCATCATAACAACAGCACATAATTCTGAGATTTGGTGGCTATCCTGAGAAGACCACATCAGTCACACTTGATGCATCGGCTTTGTACAATATTGCTGACATTGCTGATCTCAACACTGTCTGCTAGAACAGGGCATACATTCATAGCTTCTCAGATTCTGAGTGTGATCAGCAGCAACTTGCTGTAGACGACAAAACATCTCGGTCGACTGCATCGTGCCTTGACTGGTATTGTCGACAAAGGTTGGGCCTCATTGGCTTTTGGGAATTTGCATCACCAGTAATGCCACCAGGTGCGAGGCAGTAGTGGCACTGGATTTGTTGATGTAAAGGACTAACCCAACAATGTAAATAAATGATGATATAACTATGACCGTTCTTTCTTTCTGGAACAAGAATCTTCTCTGAATGGCAATCCAGATCAACGACTATCCACATGAAAGCCTTTGTTATCTTTGCTGACACGATAAAACAGGTGCTTCATCAATCCTCACTGGTAGCAAGTAACACTCACCCTGGCAATGGAACAGGTTTCTCATTCTTTCTCTGAAACAAGGATAAACAATGTCATCTGCATCCAGGACGAGACAATCTCAGCACACAGTATTAGAACAAATACTTTAGAACTTACGGCGGACTTTTCAGTTGCTTACCTATCCACTGTCTTACACTTGCTTACCCACTAGTTTGCCATACACACTTGTTTGCCTTTTTCCCACTAATCGCACTTCTTCGCTCAAATGTTTTCAACCGACCCTAGATCAACCAACCCCAGCTTGGCAACATATGTTTGGTCAGCTAGCTGCCTAGAATCGGGGTACCATCGAGGCTCCCGACCGTTCCTCCAGGTAATCGGCGCCAAAGCCTTAGTGCTGCAGCTGGTTTTGAGGCTCAGCTGCTAGATTCATAGGGACCCCAAAATGATTATATAGATTATATAGATCCAACATGCAACTAAGGGATCTGGGGAATATGTGATTTTGGAGGAAGGGTTTGACTTATATGCCCAAAAATGGTTTCTGTGGTTCAGCCCTTTTTGATAGGTAAAAAAATGATCAAAACGCTCATCCCAAAGGAATGCCGAATACAATCACACCCAGGAGCAGTGAACCATCCAGCAGGAAGCAGGCCAGTAGCGGCAGTCACCACCTTGGCATTTGAATGTCTTAGGATGATGTTAGAAGTATCTACAGTACATCATATGGTACAGACATAGAGCGAAGACCTCTCCCTACGTAGCTTATATATCTTATATGAAGGAACCTTCCCTAAATCTTGTGCCAAGTCATTAAAATATTAAAGATGTGAGATGAAAATGTGAGATGACTTGGGTATGGCTCAAAAATGATGTTCGCTTGGAACCACAACAAACGTCCTGTTTTGGAGCTTATGCGTTTCAGCGATAGCTGATGATAGCTGTATTAGAGCCCAGTTGCCGATATCCGTGGTGCGCCAAAGACTCTCCTGCCACGGTGAGGCTGTAAAATAAGGAGAACGGAAAACGACAAAGAAACAATCACAGGACTCGAAAGACCTCGGCATATATATAATTGCACCGGACAAATCCAGAAATCAGAAGCATGTTCAATCATGTTGCGCCAGCGTCTTCGATAACCTTCTTCCTGTAAAGATCAGCAAACACCCAAATTGCACCACCTGCCACCAACAAAATCCACCCATGTTCATGCCCCAAACAAACACCAACAAAAAGCTCTCCGCACACACGGGCTAGTCCAAAACATATAATTACACAAATATCTCAGACTTGCCATTTATATCCATTTATATCCATAATTACGAAATTTCAGTCTAGTTGAAGCCAGATGTTCAAGATTCATAAGACTTACAATTTCTTAATGTGGTACAATGTGGTACATCTACCCCACATTCCAACCCATCAGTGGATCGGCACCTCGCTGGTCCAACTTTGGGAGTCCACCGCCAGGCCCAAGTCGCAGAGCCAAAAGGACGCCTTCAGTTCCTGGGGCATGGCAGATGGATGGGGGAGATGGGGAATGTGACAAAAAATAGGGAGAAGGAACTCAGAGTTTATAGATGGACATGTTTTTGATGAATTGTTGATGATATATCTGAGAAATATGAGATGGAATATGTTGAAGATGCATACTAATGCAAGGCATGTGGATGAATATATTTGTTTTTCATATTGAATGTCAGCAAAATGATGCATCTGCAGGTCACAAACGCTGCAGGAAATGTCCATCGTGCCTCTCCCTTTGCGTGCAACGTGCCGTCCTGGATGAGATGGAACATGATGATCATCATGAAGCTGAATCTCTCTAAATTGCCGTTCCCCAGTCAGAAAAGCCATTTTGCCGGGGTTGTTTTAGTGGTGTCGGATCTGACATCAGGGATAGCAAGAACTTCTAAGACCTGAGAATACGAGCAAACTGAGTGTCAGTTCCCCACCTCAGAGGCTTCGTTGCAGATTAAGACCTCAGTTTCCGGTGTGCTTCCAATGCTTTCCATCCCCTTCACTGACAATGTTGCTGACAATGTTGCTAAGGAATATCCTATAGATGGAACCAAAGCAGCATGTCACCTGAAAAGCCCATAAATTTTTAGCCCCTGGCATTGTGTGAATTCACATCTCGATGCCAAGCCAGAGGCGCCTGGCATATGTTGTCATTTATGGTGTTAATATTGTTAATCGCTAAGAAAACATAGGAGCTGGTTTTCAGTGTTATTAATGACCATGACAGTATATGAAAGTCAGTAGATGATTAGTTTTGCATCTCAAACATGTGGATTTCCCATCAACTTGCCAGGATGAATTGTCAGAGGTCGGAGGGTACTTTGTGCGCAAATGTTTGACTTGAACACACAGGACGCAAAAACCAAAACCAAATGATGCAAATCATGTCGATCTTGCTTTTTGGTGTGATGGCTTGCAAGGGCAAGTCGCAACTACAAAGGTGAAACTGAACTTGAAACTGTGTACTTTGCACTTGGTCGTCACTGCTAATAGCTGCTATATTCAATCATCCAAGTTCTATCAACAACGGCTGAGGCAAAACATGGACGCTATGGAATCATTGTTCTTCAAATACTAGACTCACTAATTGCGAAAGAGATCCAATTTTGGACTAACTCCCGAGGTCCACGAATTGCATCTATTGACAAATCATGACAAACTGCCATGACAAGATATGACAAGTATGATCATCAGTGTTTTCAACACTGGAGGACTCTTGTAGTCCTCCCTTCTCACATTTCACTTGAGTAGTAGGGGACATCTACTGAAACTTTCCTGGCCACAGGAGCGCTCCAGTCCTCAGCGACGTGAAGGGCAAGTTATGGCTTTGGCCAATGTCAATGAAGGACACTAGACCATCTATATAGGATAGAAACATCCTTGATCACTTCATAGTTCCCAAGCCGCAACGCCATCAACTCAAATCATCTGTTTAATTCTGATCATTGGAGCAGCAATCACGCAGCTATTCGCGCGCCTCTGAATACAGAAACACCACAGACCCAGGTGTTGCTGGAGCCTCTGTATTCCTGGATTCCAAGGGTAAATTGTAATTGCAAGTGAAAGATTTGAGTACAGCACGCTAAAAATGGTATGTGAACACATCTGAAAGCATATGAAGCATTGTCCCTGAGCAGCTCCAGCAATTCTGGGTTGTCACTATCAACCATGTGACTTACATTGTTAAGCCCCTCCCATGAAATTCAACTAAGATTCACTCGTCCAGTAGTCCCGCCACATTGGCCTGTACGCCAATAGCATATCTGATTTCTCTTGATCAAACATCAAGAATTTACACATTGATCTCAGAATCAGCAAAGCAACACGTGCAAAGACCAAAGGTTGAATTTGCAAATCTGAGACAAGAAAAACTAGACAATGTACAGTAATTACTGTAACAAGTGCCATTAAACACCATCTGATTCTCATTGAAAACACCAGCCCCTCGCCTTGTGTGTACCATTGCCATCAGCTCCCGGTCCCATTTTGAAGGTTCCCAGGCGAACCACGGTGTATACCACAACATGTTGGATGTCTCTAAATTTATCCAACCTGGAACATGGGGATCTTATGATATGGGGAAAATCATCTCCAATTTTCTTGAATCCCAATTGTCTTATGAGTGGATATGTCTTGATGCCAGGTGAAGTCGCCAGTGGTTCGCCTGGATCCCCAAAATGGGACCTCTTATCCTCAGCCACCACCTTTGGCGCCCTCTTTCTTGGCGGCACTGGTCACTTGCTCGCGCGAAAGCCTCGGCTAAAACTTGCTCTTTGGCATCAGAAGTCACCAAAATCACCGGGACTATAGGACTATAGGTCAAATAGATCCAAATCCCTAAAACTATCATAGATCTCAGCCATTCTCCCATTTTTTGACCCCAAATTCCACCATCTCTGGTCACCCGCCCAACTCACCCCGAGGCACGGCTGGAAACTCTTCGTGGCCGGCGCACTTCCGCTGGCGGCGACTTTCGGGCCACCCTTCGGCAGGGCTGCCAGTCCGGTGCCCAGTCGGGGCGCAGCGCCCGTGCGGCACCTGGCTGATAGTGATGTAAAGCTGTCAAACATATCCAACCTGGGAATATATAGATATGTATTGGAATAGATGGAATAGATATGAATGTATATGATATATGTATATTATATGTATCTTATTTGTAATATCTATGGATATTCTGGATAAAAATGGTTGGCATCCTATTTACATCCATTTACATTCTATGGTCTTCACTGATGTCACACTTTTTGAGGTCGAGAGGCCATGGATCGGCCGCCGCATCGGCAAAGATGCCATCGATATCCTTGGTCGAAGTTTTTCCTAGTTGGAACTAGATGGAAGTGGCCCCAACAATCCCCATTTTGAGAAATACAGTAATCCATGATGTCCTTTTGCTAAAGAATACAGGGGCCGGTTTGGTACACTTCACTAATTATCATCATTCAAATGAAAAAAATTGAAGAAATGGGTGGAAATCTCCTCCTTCCATCAACCAACCAACCAACGAAAAAGGACATCCTATAGAAAGCATCACAGTTTCCTCATTGGATCTCCACCTTTCTTATTTAAAGTCCCATGATGTCCAAGTTGCCACGTGCTTTCCAAAATGCTCCGCATTCATCTTCGCCATGTTTTCCTGAAGCGGTGGCCCATCTGACTCGACCAGTGCCCATGTTCATGCGACTTCAAGAACGCTTGGAATCATAGACTCATAGACTGGAACAGTTTTAATTGAACCCCCTATTTCAGCAGAAATCGTTTCCACTGCATCGACTGGGAAGTTCCTGATGGGAACTGTTGCTTTGGTGTGTACCTTCATTGTGCACATTCTGAGCGTCTAAAGCTTCTTCGTCAGTCTCCGAGATCTTCTCACCTTGGTACTTGAAGTTGAGAAACAAAAATCAGGCTCAATAAATTAAAGACATCTATATATACTATAGGCATCTGCAGGCTATAGATGATTGCAACGGAAGAGTGACACTCAGTTGTACTGGAATTGGGTAATAGATTCACAGCTTTGGTGCGTGCGCTGCCTCAATGCTTTCAGTCACATTGTTGCACCCTGAAACTGGAAATGCGGTTTGATTTTACCATGTTGGACAAATGGGAGTTTTAAATGCTAGCAAGTTTTGCTTGGAACTCTCCTTATTATATCTATCCATATCATCAACTATTTCATTGCTGTGGTCATGCCAATTGTTGGTACTACTCTTGGTTATATATCTTGAACCCGTCTTTGCTGGCATGACCCGTTGGCTGAGATGAAGGTCGAGGGGTTGTTGGCTAAAGCCATTCATGTTACTGCTTTTTGGTGTTTCAGCACCCCAACAAATCGCTTGTCCACCCTCAATTTTTCGTTGGCTATAGTATTCCCCCACGGCCATATCTTGAATCAAAAATCATGACATCCCACTTTCTTATCAAAATATCTCAAAATTCAATAAACTTCCTATAGTTTTCATGGTTGATCTCCCCATTTTCCCTGGCTATACACCCACATCCCACCGCCGGGCCCATTGGTCCAAGACGCGAAGTCCATCCAGCTGCGCCACTTTGGGCACCACGCCGTAGAAACGCTCCCGGCGCGACTGCCTCAACTGCGAATGGAACGAACAAAAAAAATCAAAGAGTCAACTTGAAGAGGACAGCATATGATATCATATGATATCATATATGATCTGTCATGAAATTGGACATATTAGGACTTGGAAGAATAGCTTGGCAAGTAGCAACGCAGTTTGGTTCGGAATGTGATAGCTATAATATGTCTTTCGTATATTTGTTTGTGGTCAAAATTTATCCAGAGTGATGCCCAAAAACCCAAAGGTCAAATTTCCATCCCTGGCAGATAAGGGGCTGCGTGAACCAGGCCCCGATGCTCTCTTGGCACTTCTCCCAAGAGTAGAAACCCTCCGTCTCCTTGCACTGTGTCAGCGATGATTGATGGGAAAATTCCGTGCAGAATTGGACTGCTTGTTGAACAAACATTGTCTTACATTTCAAACATGTCCAGCACAGGGACCTTGGCAAATGATGCAAAAAATCCCTTGATCCTGTCCCCAATGTCTCTGCTGTTAGTCGTAGATGCCAAGCAACGCCCAAATTGAAGAGCGCACCAAGCACTGGCACACCTTTGGCCAGGAAGTAGCTGGAATTGAGGCTGAAGCTGTCGATAGCTGAACCTTGGGCTATAGGACCCATAGGAAGGGTCCAAACACATATTAGAAGAGCGACTGGACTATGGACACTCCAAAAGCAACAAACAAACCATGCAATCTGCCCTGTCATGTACAAACCCCAGTTTTCAGATCTGCTGGATATGACTGCATCATTTTTTGGCGCCTCTCTAGTGGCACGAAAACGTCATAGATTTACTACATCAGCTCAAATATGTGCGACGCTAATGATCCAAGGACAGGGACATCAACAGCATGGACAAATAGATATATAGCAATAATATGTCACGGAAGAAAAAATGCAATATCATGGAAAATCGAGATCATGAAAAACATTGAGCAACCACTAGGTAGAAACCCAACAAATTGTCTTTACATCATCAATCGTAATCAGCTGCTGGGTATCTGTTGGTCAGTTGAGGACCGGACCTACTCCGGACTTACCTCAGCAGGGCTCACATGTGGGTATGGGTCAAGAATGGTCAAGATTTAAGACCTTCAATCTAAACAGATTTTATCCCATGTCTACAGTTCTCAGATGTTTTGACCAATATATGCCTGTTGTTGTTGTTGTCGTTGTTGTTGCTGTTGTTGTTGTTGTTGCTGTTGCTGTTGCTGTTGTTGTTGTCGTTGTTGTTGTCGTCGTTGTTGTCGTCGTTGTTGTGGTTGTTGTTGTTGTTGTTGCTGTTGCTGTTGTTGTTGTCGTTGTTGTTGTCGTCGTTGTTGTGGTTGTTGTTGTTGTTGTTGCTGTTGCTGTTGCTGTTGTTGTTGCTGTTGCTGTTGCTGTTGCTGTTGGTGTTGTTGTTGTTGTTGTTGACATTGTTTCATAGACGATATATATCCGCCGACCCCGGCTGCGCAAGGGGGAGCGCGTTAGGGAATAAGACAGCAGCACCCAGCCAGTAGCCAGCAGTCAATATCCGCCGACCCCGGCAGACGCAAGGGGGAGCGTGCCAGGGAATAATACTTTTGACTCTTGTTTCGGACTACTACTACTACTACTACTGCTGCTACTACTACTACTACTACTACTGCCATGGTGTTTTCCCATCCGGCAGGTGCCTTTTGAACAGAAGGAGTCACAGGAGCAGGAGCAGCAACAGGAGGGTTGTATGTCTCATTGTACAAACAGTGGTATAAAAATTGGTCGAAAGCCATAAAACCTTGTTCAAAACTATTGTTTTTCTAGGGTTTCAGAAGGGACGTTAGGGACTTTTTGGGCTTGATTTTGGCGCTGTTCCGTCCTTCAGGGCCACTGTGTTTCCCTGTCCGGGAGGATGCGTTTTCAGCCTCGGGAGGAAGAGCAGCAGCAGCAACAGGAGCAACAGGAGGGTTGTATGTCTCATTGTACAAACAGTGGTATAAAAATTGGTCGAAAACCATAAAACCTTGTCCAAAACGATTGTTTTTCTAGGGTTTCAAAGGGAACAATGACCCCGGTCACGTACGTCGATTCATTGACTCCGGGGTTTTTGTTTTACCGGTGGGGGGTTCTTCCCGGAGTCTCCTCGAGGTACGTGGGGCTCCTTGGGTTGCCCTTCCCGCCCTGATCTGTTCGTTCGAGGCCGCATCCTCGAGGTTCAAGTTCGATGGTAACTTTGTGCGAGATCTCGAACACCTTCAGGCGATAGAATCTCTCGAAAAATTGTGTTTTTCTAGGATTTCAGAAGGGACGTTAGGGACTTTTTGGGCTCGATTTTGGCGCTGTTCCGTCCTTCAGGGCCACTGTGTTTCCCTGTCCGGGAGGGTGCGTTTTCAGCCTCGGGAGTAAGAGCAGCGGCACCAACAGGAGCAACAGGAGGGTTGTATGTCTCATTGTACAAACCGTGGTATAAAAAAATTGTTTTTCTAGGGTTTCAGAAGGGACGTTAGGGACTTTTTGGGCTCGATTTTGGCGCTGTTCCGTCCTTCAGGGCCACTGTGTTTCCCTGTCCGGGAGGATGCGTTTTCAGCCTCGGGAGGAAGAGCAGCAGCAGCAACAGGAGCAACAGGAGGGTCAGAAGGGACGTTAGGGACTTTTTGGGCTCGATTTTGGCGCTGTTGCGTCCTTCAGGGCCACTGTGTTTCCCTGTCCGGGAGGGTGCGTTTTCAGCCTCGGGAGGAAGAGCAGCAGCAGCAACAGGAGCAACAGGAGGGTTCTATGTCTCATTGTACAAACAGTGGTGTAAAAATTTGTCGAAAACCATAAAACCTTGTCCAAAACTATTGTTTTTCTAGGGTTTCCGAAGGGACGTTAGGGACTTTTTGGGTTCGATTTTGGCGCTGTTCCGTCCTTCAGGGCCACTGTGTTTCCCTGTCCGGGAGGGTGCGTTTTCAGCCTCGGGAGGAAGAGCAGCGGCGCAACAGAGCAACAGGAGGGTTGTATGTCTCATTGTACAAACAGTGGTTATAAAAATTGGTCGAAAACCATAAAACCTTGTCCAAAACTATTGTTTTTCTAGGGTTTCAGAAGGGACGTTAGGGACTTTTTGGGCTCGATTTTGGCGCTGTTCCGTCCTTCAGGGCCACTGTATTTGCCTGTCCGGGAGGGTGCGTTTTCAGCCTCGGGAGGAAGAGCAGCGGCAGCAACAGGAGCAACAGGAGGGTTCTATGTCTCATTGTACAAACAGTGGTATAAAAATTGGTCGAAAACCATAAAACCTTGTCCAAAACTATTGTTTTTCTAGGGTTTCAGAAGGGACGTTAAGGACTTTTTGGGCTCGATTTTGGCGCTGTTCCGTCCTTCAGGGCCACTGTGTTTCCCTGTCCGGGAGGATGCGTTTTCAGCCTCGGGAGGAAGAGCAGCAGCAGCAACAGGAGCAACAGGATGGTTGTATGTCTCATTGTACAAACAGTGATATAAAAATAAAAATTGGTCGAAAACCATAAAACCTTGTCCAAAACTATTGTTTTTCTAGGGTTTCAGAAGGGACGTTAGGGACTTTTTGGGCTCGATTTTGGCGCTGTTCCGTCCTTCAGGGCCACTGTGTTTCCCTGTCCGGGAGGGTGCGTTTTCAGCCTCGGGAGGAAGAGCAGCAGCAGCAACAGGAGCAACGGGAGGGTTGTATGTCTCATTGTACAAACAGTCGTATTTTAAAAAAATAAAAAAAAATTGTCGAAAACCATACAACCTTGTCCAAAACAGGAGGGTTGTATGTCTCATTGTACAAACAGTGGTATAAAAATTTGTCGTAAAACCTTGTCCAAAACTACTATTGTTTTTCTAGGGTTTCAGAAGGGACGTTAGGGACTTTTTGGGCTCGATTTTGGCGCTGTTCCGTCCTTCAGGGCCACTGTGTTTCCCTGTCCGGGAGGGTGCATTTTCAGCCTCGGGAGGAAGAGCAGCAGCAGCAACAGGAGCAACAGGAGGGTTGTATGTCTCATTGTACAAACAGTGGTATAAAAATTGGTCGAAAACCATAAAACCTGGTCCAAAACTATTGTTTTTCTAGGGTTTCAGAAGGGACGTTAGGGACTTTTTGGGCTCGATTTTGGCGCTGTTCCGTCCTTCATGGCCACTGTGTTTCCCTGTCCGGGAGGATGCGTTTTCAGCCTCGGGAGGAAGAGCAGCAGCAGCAACAGGAGCAACAGGAGGGTTGTATGTCTCATTGTACAAACAGTGGTATAAAAATTTGTCGAAAACCATACAACCTTGTCCAAAACTATTGTTTTTCTAGGGTTTCAGAAGGGACGTTAGGGACTTTTTGGGCTCGATTTTGGCGCTGTTCCGTCCTTCAGGGCCACTGTGTTTCCCTGTCCGGGAGGGTGCGTTTTCAGCCTCTTTCCCTGTCCGGGAGGGTGCATTTTCAGCCTCGGGAGGAAGAGCAGCAGCAGCAACAGGAGCAACAGGAGGGTTGTATGTCTCATTGTACAAACAGTGGTATAAAAATTGGTCGAAAAACATAAAACCTTGTCCAAAACTATTGTTTTTCTAGGGTTTCAGAAGGGACGTTAGGGACTTTTTGGGCTCGATTTTGGCGCTGTTCCGTCCTTCAGGGCCACTGTGTTTCCGTCCGGGAGGATGCGTTTTCAGCCTCGGGAGGAAGAGCAGCAGCAGCAACAGGAGCAACAGGAGGGTTGTATGTCTCATTGTACAAACAGTGGTATAAAAATTGTCGAAAACCATACAACCTTGTCCAAAACTATTGTTTTTCTAGGGTTTCAGAAGGGACGTTAGGAACTTTTTGGGCTCGATTTTGGCGCTGTTCCGTCCTTCAGGGCCACTGTGTTTCCCTGTCCGGGAGGGTGCGTTTTCAGCCTCGGGAGGAAGAGCAGCAGCAGCAACAGGAGCAACAGGAGGGTTGTATGTCTCATTGTACAAACAGTGGTATTAAAAAAAAATAAAAAAAAAATTGTCGAAAACCATACAACCTTGTCCAAAACTATTGTTTTTCTAGGGTTTCAGAAGGGACGTTAGGGACTTTTTGGGCTCGATTTTGGCGCTGTTCCGTCCTTCAGGGCCACTGTGTTTCCCTGTCCGGGAGGCTGCGTTTTCAGCCTCGGGAGGAAGAGCAGCAGCAGCAACAGGAGCAAATCTAATTTTCCGCCGACCCCGGCTGCGCAAGGGGGAGCGCGTTAGGGAATAAGACAGCAGCACCCAGCCAGTAGCCAGCAGTCAATATCCGCCGACCCCGGCAGACGCAAGGGGGAGCGCGTCAGGGCAGAGAGGTTGTGAACAACAATTCTTGCTAGCAGCAACAGCAGCAGCAGCAGCAGGTGGAGATTGAAAAAGCGGAAAAGGTTGGGAAAAAGACATTTTATCTAGGAAGTCAGAAGGGACGTTAGGCAGTTTTTCGGTGCGATTCTGTGGCTTGTTCGTCCTTCCGTGCCTTGTTGTTTTAGTGCCGGGAGGTGCTCTTGCGACTCTTCTGTTAGCAGCAACAACAGCAGCAGCAGCAGCATTTTTTCTAGGAATTCAGAAGGGACGTTAGGCAGTTTTTCCGTGCGATTCTAGGGCCTGTTCGTCCTTCCGTGCCTTGCTGTTTTGGTGCCGGGAGGTGCTCTTGCGACTCTTCTGTTAGCAGCAGCAACAGCAGCAGCAGCAGC